TTCACCAAATATCCTTTCTCACCACAAGTTTACTTGTTTTATATATGCATGAAACTCAAATAAATGGACATGGCCTGACTTGATTCATCAGATGTTATTCTAGTGTTCCGTTTCCTTAACGATGGACAAGTATGCTTTATTGATAAACCCGCTCGCGAGGGGTCTAGAGGAGCTGCTGCCGATGAAATTTCAAACAGCAATTGGTGTTTCGTGATTCTAAGAACATCCCTTGTTATATCTACAGTTTGTATCGCTTCTCTAATTCCATTTTTCGGTGAGTACATCTTGACACTTAAGTCCTGTTTGGTTACTAAAAATGAATGAAATGGAATGAATTTAAAAAATCAACATAAAAATGAATTAAATTATCCTTCCTCCTCATGGTAAATATAATAAAATTCATTAATATATACTATAAATGTGAAAATTATCAAACCTTTCAAAAATTTTATGAATTATAATTCCCATCTCCATGAATTGAATTATCCCTTTCCTTAATGTGGTTTATTAATCATTTTGATCATCTCATTTTTACTTTTATTTTTTCAATTCCTTTCATTCCATTCCTTTTTTTTTAGTAACCAAACATGACCTAAGTAATATGTCACATTATTCTATTCTCTAGCGTTTATTCAGATTTTCAAATCACTTTGACAGTTTAAGACAGAAAGTTTTACATGTTTATCACCTGAGGAAAACCAAGTATAGGCAAGGAGAGGCAACATTTACTTGTGATTGAGTTATTTTGTTTCTTGGCAAGGTTTTAGCTTTTTTTTTTTAGTTTAATTTTTGACCATTTTTAAGTTTTACAGTGGGCAAAATATGCTATGGACTGTATGACTGTAAAATATGATTCCTGCTATATTGTCAGGGCTTGTGATGGCTTTGATTGGTTCTCTGCTCAGTATACTTGTGGTAAGCTCAGTCTCCAGTAAGATAAGTATTGTACTCAGTATCTGGAAATGTTCCCATTGTAAAATTGATCAGCATGCATGAGGGAAATTAATCAGGCTTTCGTAATTCTATGTTAGTGAAGAGAAAAATACTCTTTCCAATATATAAAACGGGTGGAAATGGGGAAGAGATGGGGAAAGGAGGTATAGTTTGGTTTGTGTGTGTGTGTGTGTTTTTTTTTTAAATACCCTTAGGAGGCAAATTTTTAATATAGTGGTTAATGAATTTTGAGCATATTTATAATAACCTGTGACTAGCTTGATAAATAATCGTTCCTGCTGCTATATGAGATTATAGTAATCAATTATCCACAGACTAAATCTAGACTGGTTCCTGACTTTTATCCAAAGTATTCCAATTATTGAACTCATAAAGAGACAAAGATTTTGCTATTTCAATTAATTTTAATCCAGAAATAGATTGAGAAAAATATTTAAATTGAGAATTAGATATGAAAATAACAAATAATAAAAAACATAATAAATATATAAAGATTACCCAATCAACAAAAATATTATAGTTCAGAATTCACCCTAGGAGCTGCTGATTTCTAACTTTTAAATTGACTCTTTATCAATTATTATGACAACTGTTTCCAAAATATCTTAATTACCTTACAACCCAAAATCCTAATCAAACCATGAAGCAACAATCTAAATCACCATGAATCTCTAAAGCTATCTCTAGTGTAGTTATTTGCATCTACCTCGTTAGGTCTAAGTTTACTCTTCACCTCTCAATCCATCGAGTTTACCCATAAATTAAATATTATGATGATCAAGCATGGTATCCAATGAAGAAATAGAACAAACAAAGCGATAGAAATTAATTTTTTAATTGGATTAAATTTCTACCTCAACTAGATAATTTAGAAACATGTAAAAATAGCAGTAAATACTATTCCAAAACCTCCAAACATGAATAACAAATTATGGAGAAATTAAGAGTAGAATAGAATAATTAAGATGTGAAGAACTCCCATAAGACTACTCTTGAGCTTGAGCTGCTTCGATAAGTGATTGGATGTCCTTTCTTTTAGTGGAAAGGAGTATTTATAATTGAAATTGAGGCTACTCATCACATTCACTTTAATATTGTGTGTGTGTGTGTTCTTGTTAATTATATCTTGAATACTCCCTCCTCTCTTTCTTTTTTTCCAATTAAAATCCACGTCCGATCCCCAGAAGTGCACTCCTCTCTCCAATATGTATGTATTTGTGTATGTTCGCTTGCTTGCTTCTCTGGATTGCCTCTTCGCCATTTACATTTGATATATATCATGCTCCATTCTTTTCTTCACTTTTATGTTTTTTTTCCCCGCAAGATAAAAAAGAGAGAATAAAAGTAGATTCTATAACAAAATTCTTTCTTATCCCACAGTATAATTAAGTGATAAGAGAAAATATATAACTATTAATTAAATAGGTATGAAATATCAATAAATATAATAAAAAAATCTATGTCTATTTATCTGTAAAGTATGCCTTTATCAATAAAATGAGCCAGAATAGACTCTTCTATCACCCAATTTTCCCCTTCTTTTTCCCACTTTGCATCAGTTCATTGTAAGGGATGAGGATTTAACTTGAAAATTTGATGTAACTTGGGAATGCTATATTTTGCAGTCAGTGCTAGTGCCAGCTTCATGTTTTCTGAAAATTGCAGGGAGAAGATCTCCAAAAACTCAGGTAATTAATTGCTTCCTGCTTAATTAACCGGTAAATAATTGATAGCTAAGTTTTTAGAAACTGACTTTGTTTGCTGTCTCTGATATTGCAAAGGTGGTTGTGAGTGTTGGGGTTATTGCATTGGGAATTGCTGGTGTGATCCTTGGAACATATTCTTCAGTGTCAAGAATTCTGGATACTTGCTCTGCACCCTTGAGTCTTTGAAGTGATCATTATTCATGTGTATATGAGGCCTGGGCTATGTAGTGGAGCTCCTTTCATATTCATCCTTCATATGTGTGATTCTTCTTTATTAGCATGTTTGTGATTAGTTGGCCAGATAGAATGGCCGATTTTAGAAAGCATATTTTTCCCTTAGAAAATAGCCATTGCTATCCTGTAAACGTACCAATTAAACACCTAATGTTGTCACTAATATTTCAGATGGTTGAAATAATTAATATTAGAGATTGAATAAAGGGGTCTTCAACTCAAATTATTATTTTGTTTTGGGAATGCTAAATGATGGGAAAAACTTATATATTTAGTCTCAGATATTTAAAATACTTGTTCCTAATTAAATCAAAATGTGTGTGTCTTTTATAAATTCTTTATAACAAATTTTTATTATTGTTATCACTATTAATACATTAAAGTCCACATGATTTGATTTGATTAAACAAAAATGTATTATATATATATATAACACTAAATATATAAATATTGATCATTGTCATCCTTTTTGGGAATTAGGGCATAGAAAATTAATAAAAGCAATTAAAAACAAAAAACAAAACAAAACAAACAAAAAAAGGAAATGTGTGAAGATAATGCCATAATGATGGAGGGGCGGTTGGGGATGAGGGGAAAACAGGACTCCATTAACAGAGAGCGGTCAATAATGGGGACATGGCAACACCAAAATTTCAACTTGACGTTGACCTGGTTTGAGTTGTCAGCAACCGAACTGATGTTATGTTTGGATTAAGAGGTATATTTGATTTTAAATTTGTGCTAAACCCATTATTTCAGCAGATAAAAATTCATGGATTAGGATTTGATATCAGGTTCTTTTTTACATAAAAAATTTAAAACATTGAAAAAAATCAACGTGTACAATGGAGAATGTCAGGCAACGAAATGGGGTGCATGTTTCGAATACCTCTTAATTGAGGTTGGGGTGGCCCAACTTTCAGTTGAAGGATAAAAAATTTATTTCTTGTTTGGATTAAAAAAAATTTCAACAAGCGTTGGATCTCAAATGAGCATTTTTCTTGAAGATATCTGAGGGAGCTGAGCGTTCGATTTCTCTCTCCGGCTTATCTTCAACTCCTTCTTGCCTTCACCTTGTGCAAATTTTCCGTCTCTTTCACATGTTTCCTTCTTCTCTCCTCCTAATACAAAACTAATATTTGTTCGACTTGCTCACCACTCACAAACTTAGCCCACGCTGCTGACAAATTTAGAATCAAAGGTTCTTCATCTTTTAAGAATCTGCTTAATATCCTCTCTTCAATTGATCAGGATCACATGCAAATGACTTGGGTGCAGATGCCATATCCTTCGCACGAATTGGTGACTTGGTGTTGCTAGCAAGAGATCAAGGTGAGAGGACTGAGGGAGGGATCCATGAGATGACAAGGAAAGAGGTGACATGTGATGTGCTATTATGGACGACAATATGAAAGATAAGATGAGAAGAGGGAAAAAAGGAAGAGAAAGAAAAGGCCAATCTGTCAAGACCCGTATTTTATTAATTTATTAGTTCATAATTTTTTTTTAAAATTTATTTTTTTTCTTGAAAATATCAAAATGAGTCACAAAAATTTAATCCCTCTCTTCTTAGTATAGTTACTTTTTTTTAATAGAGATAAAATTAAAAAAATTTTATCATTCAATTCTACCTTTTTAAAAATTAAGATTTTTAATTTATCAATGTATGTTATATCTGTAATCTAATTTTTTTTAAAAAATGGTAGTTTTAATATTTTTTTCCCTAAAAAATCATATTGGTCACAAAAATATATATAAAAAAATTTACGTCCATTTTTATTATTATACACTTTAACTTACTTTTAAATTAAATCATCTTAAAAAATTTTAATTTGTTTAACTGAATTTTAAAAAATATTTAAATATAAATCATATTAAAATTATAATATTTTTTAATTTTAATTTATTAATCTCAATTAAGTTGTGAATTCTTCAATTCAAACACAATCGAAATAGTGAGAATGGTTAGAATGGGCCCCAAGAAAAAAAATGAAAGGAAAAAAGAAGCGCGGGGCGGTGCTGTGGGCTACTGAAAGAAAGGCGTTGGTCACTGACTCTGAACAATCCAAACCGACCAGCACATTCACATTTGTCGATTTGTGACCTTCTTCCCACCTAAAGTGTTAATGTAACCATAAATGCATCGCCTCTCCATTTCTCGTTCATTGCTCCCTCCCACTCCTGCCCCTTCTTCTGTTCGTGTCTCGGAAACAGAGTTTGGGGTTACAGCATCCCCCACCCCCACCCCTTCGGTGGTGTCCTGCTATTGCATGGTGTTTCTGGTTTTCGAGAACGTGGCTTTGTGAACGAGAAGTGGCAGCGACTGCAGGAAATGCGGTATCGGATTAAAGGGGGGAAAAACATCTTATATGAAATTTGGGTTCGATTCCAAATGGTGTGAAGACCATCATTCAGTTTGGGTTTTCACGTTATTGTTTTGGAATCGGGGGGATTTAGTGTTGTGGAAGGAACGAATATCCAAATCCAGAAATGTCCGAATTGGTGGCTCGTACAGGTCGTCAGCAGCAACGTTATGAGGACGGTTGCCGCCTTATTGCTGGGTACTTGCCTCTTTTCTAAGAATCTTCTCTGCGGGGCGTTTCTGTACTGCTCTTGCCTTTTTCTTCCGCATATCCACCACATCATTGTCTGCTTGTTGCTCAATCCTTTCCAGAAATTCAACCGCATTTTTTCCTCTTGGACTTGCTTAGTATAAGTGTCCTCCCACAAGAAATGCAGCGTTGAGAAGAAAATGATCAATGATTTTTAAGAGATCCCATTGAGTTTAGTTAATATTAAAATTTCCGTATCAGTTTCTTTCCCCGACAATATCTCTGAAGGGACGATAGATTTTCGAAGCTGGTATACATATGTTTAGTCGACAGTCATGTTGGCATGATGATATCAGGAAATATTTGATTGGTTGGTTCAGTGTTGTGGATTGACAAGGGAACGAGAGGTACTCTTGTTGCCTAGTTGCATGTGTTATACAGGAACCTAATACTTTAGCTTACAGCTTCCATCTATTACATGTTTAAATAAATTTTAAATCATGGGAAAGTTATATGGCCCTTCTTAGTTTTAATGCTTGTTAAAAAACAAGGTATTCACGTGAGGCACCGTAATTATGAGATCGGTGATAACTTTAACTAGCAGTTTCGAGGTGAGATCAGACAGATTTATTCCTCGAACACACTTATGAAACATTAATCCTGAGATGGGGTATTCTTTAGTCTCTATCCATTTGCAGAACTGCTAATAATGACATGGATTTTATATTGTGAAATTCTGAGCTGAGCTGACGGGCCTTCAAAATCTCAGAAGCACGATTAATTCTGATCTATGAAATGATTGACAGGTGCATTCCCTTTAAGTATAGAAGTCCTTCCAAAAGAAGTGATGGTGCATCTAAAAATATTTTGGAGGTCTTGATGATCAGCTCAGCTAGTGGACGTGGTCTTGTGTTTCCAAAGGTATGTGAGGGATTGAATATATGCTTTGATATTCATTATGATTGACTTCCAATTTCCAAATCAAAATCAATTGCTAGCAGATATAGCTTATGCTGCAACTGTATTCACTACTTTATTGCACAGACTTATGCAGCTTTCCTAGGTAATTGAGTTCTAGTGGCACTCATTATGATGCTCACGTCGTTTCCATTATGAAGGGGGGATGGGAAAATGATGAGACTGTTGAGGAGGCTGCAGTTCGAGAAGCTGCAGAAGAGGCTGGAGTTCGAGGAGAACTATTGGTAAGGATAAATGATTTTTAATTCTTCTGTATTATTTATTGTACCATGTGGATTTTTTTTATCGTCAGTGAGGTCAGATGCTGAATGAATTTTTGATGTACCACTCTTGTGTGTGAGTTTGTGTACTTTCTTGCACATTCATGACATGAATATGATACCATCATGATCTCTTAACCGCTTGTGAATATTATAATTCTATTTTCAAAGATAATGATAAGGCACAAGTTTGCTAATTTTGTTTAAAACATCACGACTCAGACACATGGAGGCTATCATGGGAATGCTTGAGGCCTCTGCTGATGATGTGACTTTTAAGTGTCTCAGATATGGGTCAGGGACCAAATTGTGTAGGGACTAGGGAGTGAGATAATCCTTAAATCACAAATGGATGATCGAGAATAATAAGTTGTCATAAATGGTTTCCCTGATTTTCACATTAATGGATTTTGCATTAATCTTAATCCAAGGATGATTATTTCCTCACACCTCATAAGAAGATCACTCTTCTCAGGTTATGTGCTGGATATGTTTTAACTCCTAGAAACCAGATTTTCTTGTTCCATAAGTCAAAGTGGTCAATAATTGAAATTAGAATGGTAAATTTTAATCAAGTGGTTCCATGTGAAATCTTCTGGAAATTGTGAAGCACTGTTTCTTAATGTCCATTTCAATGAAACTAAGAATCACTGAAAAGAAGACCATCACATGATAAAATCTGGAGTCCAAGTTCTATGCGATGTGTCAAATTCAAATCATGTTTGGTTGTATTCCCCCCTTGTGTCAGAGACGGACTAACTTCTATTTAAAGTGTCTGCATTTCACTGCCAATAAATAAGTAGGCTTATTAAGTTGTATGAATTTGAAAAGTTGCATCCCTTGATGCCCTTGATTTTCATTGCCTTAACTGCTAAAACTAATTTTAGACGAGTGGCATTTGTCCACTGATAAACCGTGGAAATAGTTGGCATGTGATTAGTTTCTGTTTCTTTTTATCGTTTCCTCTTGCCCTCTGGTTATTGCCAGGATTTTTAATTTGATGCGTCTTTTTCTCCTTCAAAATGTTGGGGGGAAGAGGATTACATTGTTTTTGGGTCAACTGTGAACGCCAGTACCTTCCTCTCAGTGATAGTTGAAGATTAGTCTTTCTTTCAGGAATTCCTGGGGTATTATGAATTCAAGAGTAAGACCCTGCAAGACGAGTGCTGTCCTGAGGGTTTATGCAAAGCTGCTATGTTTGCTTTGCTTGTGAAAGAGGAACTCCAGGTTTGGCCTGAACAAAGCACTCGCAAGAGAATTTGGCTAACCATCCCTGAAGCTGTCCATTCTTGCCGAGATCAATGGATGAGAAGCGCTCTTAAGGAAGGCTTTGTCAGATGGCATGAAGATCAGGGGATGAGTTCCACAAAGGAGGATGAGAACCGTGTAATATTGACAGATTCATCTCTTCACGAAAGTTGATGAATTTAGCAGTTGCCCGCAGTTGATTGGAGTGCTTTCCTCTCTGTGCAGGCTCTATCTTTGTTCAAGGTTAAAGTACTGCGTTGTTAGTGGGAATTTAGGTTCTGACGTCCTCTATTTCTTTTTGTGGGCATGTGACCAATTTCAGGATAACTTTGTAGCACTCTAGATGAATCCTAGTGTTTCATCCAGTCGAAGTTGTCAAAATGTTAATAGAATTTTAATTACATGGAAAATATTGTTCTCTAGTAATATTATTGATCATGTTGCTGAATATTATTCTGCTAGAAATACGTCCGAGTTATTGGACGATTATACAATGCATCTGTATCCAAGGTTGAATGTTTGCATGTATCACAGCCTTTCATAGGAGAATTTGTGAGGACAGTGGCAAGCGGGGTACTTAATCGTGCCCGCGGCGCAAGATTCTACGTGTTATATAATTAATGTAGGTTTAATGTGGTGCATGGGGTTAAAAGAATCATCAATTGCAATATTTATAGCTGATGTAACTTATTATTATACGAAGACGTAGATGTACATGATAAGTGTATGAGGGTGATTTATGAGAAGTGAGCACGATGCCTTGAGTCTTGCCGTCCCATGTTGTCATAAATTCTGGGATTTTTTTTCTCTCGCAATGTGAAGTATTATCGGCCAGTTGGGGAACATCGTGTGGAGCAGTCGCAGGCTTGGCCGCTGATTGACGGTGAGATTGTGATGCTTATGTATTGGATCTGTTTGTGGCGTGGGTGATTAGTTGACCCATGGATGGTGCTGGCTCTGCTATTTTGTGCATAGCAGCAGTGGCCCAGGAGTGTGAGGACGAGGCTGTGGCTAGTGGATGTACTAACAGTAAATCCAGAAGCAGTGAAGACAACTGGAGCATAACGTTATGTGCTGACATTGAAGACCGAAACAAGAAAGTTATTCTGAATCAGTGGTGCTGCCACAAAGCTATTGCTATCTTGGGATGCTTATCAACTATTTGTGAGAAGCAAAGCATATTTATAAGGTCGTCTGAATGGAATCTGTTACTTTCTCCGCATTAATAGAATTCACACGGAGCAGCTGCCTCCACACTCCATCACACATTAATCACCCAACGTTGCTCAGGGCGGCCATAGCCTTGGCCTTCAAAATAAAATTTCATTTATACCCTACATAGCCAGTCACTATTTTTCCCGCTGAATATTGATGGTAATTAAATATTTTTGTCAAGAATTTATTTCTTGTTCATACCTTATATGACCGATCATTAATTTTACATCAAACATTAATATTGATTATATCTCCTCATCAAAAATTTGTTACTCCACATTTCACTGTGCTATATTTTTCATTCTGAATATCAATTAACCATTCTCTAATTAGAAGGATAACATGTATATACTATATTAAAAGATTAAACTCTTTTTTGAATACATATATTGCTTAGGAAGTATTTGTTGATGAATCCTCTAACCACGTTTTATCATTTTATTCTCCTTCTTACATTAGTGTTAAACTCTGACCATTTTATTGTGTTTTTTTTTCTTTACTAATATAATTTCCTTTTTCTCAAAACAAAAAAAAAAGATAATACCACTAACAATTACTACTATTAAAAGAAATTTTTAAATTCAAAATTGCTTAAATTTAATTTTAGAACAGCCATGTTACAAAAACAAATTAGATGAATTAGCTAGATTGCATATTAAAAGTAAAATATTAGAATTATTTTATCACAAAATTTAAATATTTGATTTTACAATTAAAAAACTAGAAAAGTGATGCAAAGATATATAAATAATAATAATAATAGGTTTCTTAAGTAATTTTATTTTAAGCCTCCAAACTTTTTCACGATGCCTTGACATTGCCATCATGAAATTCTCAAACTTTCATACAACTATTTTACCCTCTATGCTATTTGCGCTCCCCAAATGTTCCAACTGTTTTTTTTTTTTTTTTCCCTAATTTCTCTTACGTTTTATTTAGGTTTTGTTTGATTCAAAGAAAGAAAAAAGTATGGGAGGTGAGGAGAGAAAAATGAGAGAGGAGAGGAAGGGAAGGGGGGTTTCCCCAATTTTAGAGGGAAGATTTTGAAGGGGGGAAGGAAAAATAAGAAGGAAGAGAGGGGTTTATTTGGTAAGGTGGAGGGAGAGAAAAAAATTTTCCTCCGGTCTCTCCCAACCAAACAATACTTTAGAGAGAAAAAATTATAAAAGAAAATAAAAAAAAATACATTTTCACTCTTGCTCTTCCTAATTTTCTCTTAGAGGGGAAAAAGTTAAAATAAAAAAAAAATTATGTTACTTTCTCCCCTTCGTTTTCTTTCATTATTTATTTCTTATTTTAAATAAAAGGTAAATTAATAAATTCATTTTCACCGTGACTCGCTTATCTAGGCACCTACCCCATGTAATCAATGCCCCGGAATCATGATTATCTGCATGTATTGTTGGAAATATTCGAAGTTTCGAAGTATTGTGAAGACTAAACACTTCCAATGCTCTGGTGATGATTCATTCTTTTAGTATCCAAAAATATAGGCATCTTAAAATAATTTGCATATTAATAAAATTTTATTCTTATAAAATATAATTATTTTAAATTTTAAATTTTATTTTATGATGAACAACAAGAATATCATAAATTTATCAACACAACAATCTATATTAATGTATCTTTGTTTTCCTCTTGAGAGGGTAATTTAAAGCAAATACATTTATGATTCCTTTATTTTTCTTTAAAGCACGCAACTTTATTTTTATATTTGAAATGTTGTTATTCAACAGAATATAATTGACCCCACACAATAAAATTAGGTTGTAAATATTTTTGTCTATAATTATAGAGTTAAATAATAAATTTGTTCCAAAATTATTTGTGTAAGAATATATGGGACTCTAAACATATTATTTTTTTATATAATGTTTTCTTCAATATTTTAAAACAGCATGGTACTGCCCCTATTATTAATAAATATTAACCCTGATAGTTAATTGAAAAAATTACAACAAGTGATTAAGAAAATTTGTTTGGTACTCTTTTATAATTTTTGAAATTATTTTTTGTAACGTTCTTGTCATTTTCTGCAATTTTTTATTTTTTATTATAATTTTTTGATTAACTAACAATTAAAATTTAAAAAAATTAAAATAATAATAATTAAAATTAAATTTTATTAATAATAAAGGTGATATTATGTTATTTTTAATAATTAAATAAAAATATTATATTAAAAATAAATTTTGAATCAGAGATCATCTTGAATTTATAATTTAATGATAAAAACACCTTTTAAGTCATAATTATAACTGAATCTTCACATTGTTTGTCATCCTATTGACATACAATGGTACAGTACAATATTTTTAAAATCAGATCGGACATTAAATCAAAAAGATCAACGGTTCACGATTTACATAGTTCAACCGATTGGACTAATGATCCGACCGTTGATGTAATAATTAAATTAAAAAAAATTATATATGTATATAATAATTTAAATATAAGAAATACATATAAAATTACTATTTAACTTAAAAAAATAAATATTTTAAGTTTATCATGACTTAACAATCCATATGATACAACATAATATCAAATGATTAAAAAAATTAGTCATTTTTTTAAAAAATTGATAAAAAATAAATTTTTTTTGAATAGTCCGGTTTTCGAAAACCGAATCCGATTCCTGACTCGATTTCGATTTTGGGCCCGAATGCCAGTTCGAAACGGCTCAAATCGGCTTAACTTTTTAAACTGTTTTTTTCTTTGAATTAGACCGAAAATCAGGGCGATCGACGGTTCGACCAGTCTTACTATTCAGTCCGATTCGATTTTCAAAACAGTGATACAGCATGCAACTGGTTTACAAACGCGTCCATATTTAGTATTCATAATGGCATGTTGATCATGCGTGGCTCAATTTAAGCCTCTTATTTTACTCTGAAATGATTTTTTCTATTTATTTAAATTAATTTTTAAATATTTTTAAATATTATGCTTATTAATATGAAAATTATAAAAAATTTAACATTAAGTCTGAATTGTCTTATAGTCATTATAAAATGAGCATCATAATACCCATCACATCTGATGAGAATTAAATTATTTAAATTTAAAATTTTTTATATATTTATTAAAATAAAACTTTATAAAAAATATATATAAAATTTTAATAAATTTATTCATCATTAATTTAGTCACAAAGATTTAATGTGACAGGCCAAAGTACACCCTAACTATTCACCCTTCGGTCAAATCATCTCGACAATTTTAATGGCTGCAGGTGTCATCATGCTCATCGGATCAGCACCAATGGTTACGGTGGCGAGTGCCATGATGGTTACGCTGGTGGGACTGGGATCATTCAAATATATTTGGAAAAATTACGCATACGTTCCCAAAAAAAAATTTATTTATAAAAAAATCTTATAAAATTTAAAAACCACGATCAAACTATTTAAGACTTGAATATGATTTAAAATTAAATTATAAAAATAGTAATACTTATATTAAACATATATTACATTAATCAAATAATTATTTTATAACTTTTATTATTGAATATATGAAATTACAGTTATAAAAAATTAAAATTATAGTTATAAATTATTTGACTAACATAATATATATATCTTTAATAAGGGTATTATTGTCTTTTTATTTTAATTTTAAATTACATTCAGACTCCAAGAGGCCTAATTGTAATTTTTAAATTTCATAAGATTTCTTTATAAATAAATTTTCTCTACAATATCTTTATGTAATTTTTTCTAAATATCTCAAACATTTTAAATTTTAAATGTAAATATTTTAATTTATACTTTTTTTACTTAAACTTTAAATTTATTAAAATATAAAAATTGAAAATAACATCAAATCTCGGCAATTTTAATTTCCATGGTGAAAATTGGTAAGCTCAATCCACGCTGTCACTTTATTTGGAGAAAAGTAGTAGTCTTCCAAAACTACTTCAAGATAAATGGACCTGGTTTCGCTTCTTCGAAGAATCGCTCCTCCGCACGGAAGAGGGAAGCCAGGTTTAATATACTTTCTGTAGATTTATTTACAAGGTACAAAAAATTAATTTTATTTATAAGTCGTATTATTAAATTTTTATTATAATTTTTTTATTTTTAATTAAATATTAAAGAGAGAAAATATATTATTAAAAAATATATATATTTAATAAAAATAAAATTAAAATTTTATTAAATTTTAAAATAGAATTGATGAATTTTAATATTTTCTTTAATATTAACAAAATATATTATAAATAATTTATAAGATGAGTAAAATGAAAAAGTCAATTGACATGACCGTTGGGTAGAAAATGGAGATGTTAAGGCAGTGGTCCCGCACCATGCATGAATGTGATGCTGTTAATTATGGGTAATTTAAATTATTGTTTTAATCCCAAGGAAGACACCGCGTTAGCAAAACTGAGGTTGTAACTGACTGTACTGTTCCTGCAATTTAGTTACATGTAGGTTTATTTTATCCTTGTTTATTTAAAAAAATAAAAAATAAAAAGAGGCTGTAATGGTAATACCAGGTTCAGATGTACATAATCTCAGCAGGTTCTGTGGCATGAAGATCGGGTTATCGAGTTTCGTGAACTATGAACAGCGCCGGTTGATATTTCCCTCCTCTAATAAAGTTTGTTCTACGATTAATTACGACATGTCATTGATTTTTTTGGCCAGAAGATATCAGTATCATAGAGATCTCCCCCCCCCCCCGTTCGCAGGCCACACAACAGCCATCAACCAAATCTAAGAACCAATTAAAACAAACAAAACTGATCCAAAAACACCAAACTAAACATCACGGAAGAATGAATTTACAAGCACAACACGCCCTGAAAAAAACTGATGATATAACAAGAAAAGGAAAAGTCAACTTCATCCACGCTTTTCTCGTTTCGTAATCATAGAAGCATATTCTCTTACCCAGATACACTCTCTTGTCAAAATTTCTTGTATATTTTAAACACGCATGATCGTAATTTATTCTATAAGCCAGTGTTGTTTAAGCATTGAACAAACGTATTTTTTATATTGAAATAGACCGTAAAAAAGAAATGGAGAAAGAAACGTTTAAGAAAGGCTGGTGTCTTTTAATGTTATAGCATATGAGAGAATAGCTCTAAATAAAGCTACGGAACATATAGCGCCAAACAATAGCTTTTTTCTAGAAGAGTAATATCCCTACGCATGTAACGCAAACAAAAGCACGTACGACGCTATGAAGTTGTGTCACATGTAGTTTTTATGTTTTTTAAAAAGTTAAAGTGACTACTATTTAGAGAGAGAGAGAGAGAGAGGACGGTTAGTAGGGTTTAATGGTGGCGGTTGGTTTGCTGGTTCATTTAAGTTTTCCGGTTTCCCTTTTGTTTGGCCCAGTTGAGAGATTTCCATAACAGTACAACTCCCTTGTGCATATCCCAAAAAAATATAGCAAATATGAAAAGCGCCCTCACGCTGCACACAGAAAATCTTACAGTATTATGGCAAGGTCCATAATTATTGTTGTTGTTGTTGTTGTTATCTGCTTATATATTCTGCTCGTCTCAATTTTTATTTAACAGAGTTGAGATCTTTTTAAAAAAAAAAAAAAATCTGAAGTATGATGCTTGTGCGATAGGAGTTTCAACAGATTGTCTTATATATGTACTGTGTATCGGTATTTCAAATGATGAGTATATCTACGGTCTGCATTTATTAATTTTTTTTTTTCATGCTGTCAGCAACTTGTTCGCGGTGATCTGGCCAAAACAACAACATCAACACCAGCAACTTGCCTATACACTTGGGGGCAAACCCCAAAAACAAGAAAGAAGAAAGAATCTCATGCCTGATTCATTGAACATTAAATCAGTGAGACTTGAATAAAGCTGTTTAAGAGAGAAACCGACAACACGGAGTCCTGCAAATCATAAGCATCCGAAAAGACAAGTTATCGAAGCCCACGACCAGCAACTTGAGAGACGGGGAAGAAAAAGTCGCTTCCTCTAACTCTTAAGGTCAACAAGGTCCGCCAAGTTGCAAGCTTTCCATGTCCACCTAAGCGTCATTCAATTCTAACGAAGTTTGATTACTTAATTTCACCCGCGACGCCAAAAAGCTCCTGAATTAATTAATTTCGTTTTTTTTTCTTGAGCCCGCGAGAAACTCTGAAATCATTCAAGAAATGCATGAAAGCTGTATATGCGCTAATCATATGCCACGATTTATTTAGGCAGATACTTTAGGGCTCAGGCTCTTCAAAAAATCAACAGACCACAATATATATGAAGTGTTTTATTTTTGTCAGGGATCAAATAGCAATTAGAGGGCTTAACAGCTTGCAAATTGCAGAACTGTCGTTATAACAAATTTTGAAGTGCAAGTAGATCCTAGACAACGTTTGTTTTCAATGTTGATACCTTATAGCTAGCTGGCTTTCACGGCAAGTTGTTCAGAACCCAGCCCACTGGTTTACGAGTTCTTCATTCATCCCCTCCAATCTTTGTTTGCCGAGGCTCTTGGAACATGGCATGAAGGGCTGCTTGATAAGGGTTTCAGGCACAGTATGAAAATTCAGGTCAATCTACTTAATTAAATTAGTAAATTAAACCATTTAATTAGCATATATTCACAAATTTAATTATAAAATGCTTTATTTATTATCAATTTGATTATGGTATGACTACAATTTCAATCATTACTTTTTAAATTAATGTCTTAATTGGTTCAATAACCGATCCGGTCTTCAATGCTTTGATTTTGGGTGAGCACCATGGTGCTACATCATCTAAAATTGATTTTAATGGTTTAAATTTAAATTTTTTAATCTATAATATATAATATAATTTTAGAAGGGAATCTGGTCACTATCAATTAATTCTCTGTTGCCCTGCAGTGCTTGTTACCATCAAAATTAAGATAGTGCCGGGCCCAAATATTAAAAATAAATAGATGGCAGTAAATTTTTGAAAAAAATGATAATTAAGGATCATATAAAATTATTAATTAAAATTAAAGACTTTGAATTATTGAAATCTTAATAATGGACCATGGTCCTTATATAAAATTAAAAACAAATATGAATTTATAAAATTGCCCATGAGTAAATGCATAAAATAGTTGATGGAGCCTCATTTGAAAAATCAAGAAAAAATATTACTAAAATTATTATTACGGGTTGGACTATTATTAATCTTAATTAAAAAATTAAGATTCTAAGTATTATGAGTTGAGACTATTGAAATTGTTACTATGGGTTGAAATTATTATAAAGCAAGCAATTATAAGAACAAAGAGAAGTGGTGTCAATCACAATTGATTGCGAAGATGATGAAGGATCATGAATTTCGTCCTAACAATTCCAATAAGAAAGTGAGCAGCACACGAATTGATGAATGATAAAAACGTACAAGACAAAGCAATATAGAACTTGTAAATTAAGAAGCCTCACTTGTAAATTATAAAGTTACAATCATAAGTAAATAATAAATACAATTTTAGTATACTGTTTATAAAATATGACATAGGATTTGCAAATTAAAAAGTTTTCTTTGTAAATTATGAAGTTATGATTATAAATAAATAATAAACAAAATTTAAGTTTATTATTTATAAAACACGAAATAGAATTTATAAAGTTAAAAGTTTTATTTATAAATTGTGAATTTACCATTATAATTGAATATTAAATACAACTTTAATTTATTGTTTATAAAACATAAAATATGACCTATGAATAAAGAATATCCTCTTGACATAAATTGTAAAGTTAAAGTTATAAGTAAATGATTTTTTTTTCTGAAATTCAAATGGATTTAAGGAGAAATCATGTCTTTTCATCTCAATTGTAAATCACACTCAGATCCTATAAATTTAACTATAATTTTTAAATAAGTTACTTTTATAGTATATATACATAATTTTTTCATTATAAACCGGAGGCACGTAGTAATTAATGAGCGAAAGTGTTGCAACTCGCGTGTCTTAAATAAGAGGGCTCACTGACATTTATTTGGGCGTAAAATAGGCAAGCAGTATTGGGCTTTGAATAGAACAGGATGAGACCGCCACTACAGATATAAAGGAACAAGAGGTTGATATAAATCACTTCAGCTCTGAATTTCTTATGATCACAACTGGGAAATATCACAACCAGCCGAAAACACACACACACACACACACACACACATATATATATATATATATATGTGGAAATGGAAACAAAAGTCAAGTATTTATGTAGTTAATTAAAAGTTTAAAACCCTCTATACCACAGCAAGCTGGAAAGCCCCACACCGGCCAGCTCTCAAAAACTTATCACAAGTCGTAATTAAATATGGATTTGGAAACACCACACTGGTGATATTTCTGACCATTATTTGCTGTACATTCTTCGCTTAATAAAGCCTCACCTTGCTGCCTAAAGATGTTAATTTGGCCCTACTCAGAAAAGGACCAAGGAAGAGCCTCAGAGGCAAAAGGCATGTTCAATCACACCTCAAAGACTCTTCGATTCTGCCATGACTTTAACCTTAATCCCCATCCAGTTCTCCGTTTTCACGCTTCCCATTCGTCTGCGCTCCCAGTGTATATATATATATATATATATATGCATCGGGAGCGCAATCAATTTGAACCACTTGTTTTACTTTACTCTTTATACTTTCAAAACTGACTGGATCGCCATCTTCAATTCAACTAAATAATGATTAGAACAACTTTTTGATACAAGGATTAGCTATAGGTTTCCTTCCATTGCTGTTGCGGCTAGCAATCTTCTTCAAGAAATCAAGACTAAGAGCCCATTCCTAGCAGTTAGAGTCAGGGATTTCTGTTCTATCACGCCCAAATCCAACATTAAATCAAATTGAACAAAGCCAATGGCAAGGCTACAGTTAATAAACATGTTCCCTGACATAAACAAAGTAGTTGCATCACATATAAACAAATTAAAGGCAATACATGTAATATATAAATTATCCGAAAGTGACAAATTCCCAGAAATAGGTCTGGTCCGGGGGGAAACAATCGAGAGCTTACTGGGTAATTTTAGTGATTACACTGCATCATTCCTGCGCGGCTCCTCGTCGACTAGATCAGGTTCGTAGAATACAGTCGAGGGTAAGAAAGCTGAAATGTCGTCCATCATCTGATGATAAGGGGCGAAGACATGATGATCAAATGGATCAAATCCCTGCTCCATTGAGCCTCCAAGTTGGCCTTCAAAATTATCAAAGATAGGGTCCACTTGAGGCATCACTAGCGGGTGATCACTTTCATGACTGCCAGTACTTTTTGTGACCGACGAATTATCAGAATCCGACGTCTGATGGGCACCGTCGATGTCGGGGTTCTGGAATCTGGAAAGATCCGCCGGCAATTCGGCGTCCTGACCTGTAAGCTCTTGCACTAAGGACATGAACTCCGACGGAGTGACCTTCACCTTCATGGGATTGGATATGTACACTACCTTGACGGGTTTCCTCTTGAGTTTGTCGCTTCTTTTACTCGGTGTCCTCTGCTGCACACTACTGTCCATTTCTCTTCAAGATTTCAGCTTCACATGAAAGAGGTTCAAGGGCTTTGATATTTTTCAGACGAGTTTCTGGGAAAGATTTGATTGAGGAAATCCAAAGCGAAATGATGTTATAGAAGGAAACGGCAGTTAACGAGAGAGGAATGGAAGGTGAGGCGAGGAGAGCACTGAAGTATGCCAACGGGGAGAAGCGGCACCGCAATTTATACGGAAATGGGAAACTTTATCGTACGAAAGCTGGTGAGTGTGGCTCACGCTCCGTCTCTGCGAATGGGGGGATAAGGGAGAAAAGCAAATTTCTGAGCCATGAGGCATGAGTGAGTCAATAATGCTGCCACGTGGATCACTGACGTAAAGGGACAGGCTCATGATGACGTCATGGGCACTCAACTTGGCTCCTGCCTGGAGTGGTCCCCCCGCTGCCATCCTCGTCCTCCGGTATCTAATCCAGTCATGAACAAGGATTAATGAAATTTTGCTGCCGATGGTCGAACTTATTAATTTTACTTATGAATAATTATACGTACTGACGTCTTTTGAGAACCATACCATATCGACTATTGCTGATTAATTCAGATTTGAAAAATAATTCAGGCTTTAAACGAAAACAGTGCTTTCGATTTTCTGTTGCCTGTTAATGTTTATCTATGTCTGGACTACTTTTAGATACAATATTTACATGTCCGGGAGTGGGTAATGGAATGAATTTCTCCTTGAAAATTGAATTATTTTCTGCCGAGAAGGAATTAATAAGTCGACATCAATAATTGACGCTTAAATATGTATATGATATATATATTGACTTTTTTATATTTTTTGCTGGCCAAGGCACTCAAATATCTGAAATTGTGTGTATGGTTGCAAAGCTACCACAAACAACGTGGTGGTGACTCTGTTGAGGTTGCGCGTAAAAGTTAAGCATATATAAATGCTTCAAAAGTAGTGTTTTCAATAGAGAGAGTTACAGACGACACATAGATGATATATATCAGCTGAGGAGTTTTTCCACCGCACGTGGCTTGACTTTCTTGAAATTAATTAATGAAGACGATACACTCGTCCATACGTAGATAAAATCAAAACAAACGCATCTGTTTGCAACTTCCCCTTTTCTATAATTACCAAATCGTCCAGATGAGATATTATATGTGGATGACTTCTTCGAAATTCATGGAGCTGGACACAAGTCACCCTTGTCTATTCAGGATGACCAACATTGATTACCTCGTCGCTGCCCGGGGAATTTCTATCCTATTACAAAAAAAAAAAAACGAAAGAAATGAAGAAATATTAAGCGTCGCTGAAATGCAAAATTCCTTTAAAATTAATTTACTTAAAAACCCCAACTAGAAAAATATCAACCCTTGTTGGTTCATTAGAGGGAGAGGAGGGAAGGAATTTTAATAAAAGAAATGGGAAGTGAAGCGAAGGAGAAAGAAGAGATTTTAATATTAACTTGTTTGGTTTAGAAAGAAAAAGAAAGGAAAATAATGCCCGGATTGTAACACCTCTGCTATTCTATTTGGTTTTTATTTTACTTTTTAATAAAATCATAATCATATGGCAATTAATTTTTATTGTTAAGATAACTTAACATGTAATGAGCACTCTCGTATGTCAACATACAGGAGCGCTCTTATAATGAATATTCCTGTAGGTCAATATAGGGGAAGAGTATTCTTGTATGTCAACGTACACAAGTGCTCATTGTAGGCCATAAATTTTTTTTTTTAAATTTATATTTTTCTAAATTTCTCTCTTTATATCTCTTTAAAAATGATTAATGTCAATATCAAAAACTAATCCAAAAACAATATAAATATAAAAATTTAAATACAAGGAAAGAATATAAAATTAAAACAACAATTTTAATTTCTTAACTAATTAATTTAATTTCTAACAAGCCTAATAGATGAGACTATTGGTATTTTTTTTAATATTGAAATCTAACTTCTTATTACAAATAGCTAATAATACATTTTAACCACTCTTCAATTAAATTTTCTATTTGCTCCATAGTACAATGCGAGAATCTTGCTCCAACAAAATATTACACAAGATATAAAAGCAATATATAAGTAATTAACATTATATTAATTTAATTTCAAAGCTTTTGGCTTGCATTTTCAAGAATGATCAACTTTTGTTGTGTAATTACTTCTCTTATAAAATTCATAACTCTCAACTTTGTAATTATATAAAACAATAAAAGATGTCATCATCAAAATATGGTAGAAATAAATTTCAAAAATTCTACATCAAGTATTTTAGGGATGAAGTTATATATATAATATAAATATTTACTATCGGAAATTCAACAGAGTCTCCCTTACACCTTGGAAGTTCCAGAATTTTTTAAAAATTTTACATCAATTCAAAATAGCATATTCAAAATAATAAACATAAAATATCAATCAAATAATCATTTAAATACTTACCAACTTGTTTTATTAAGAAAATAATATAAACCTTTATTCTTTTTCATGTATAAAACTCAGCAGGATCAGGCCTTTCGGTGTTTGGAGGGAGACCTTCACCACCTTAATAACATGCTTCAGCCTTATAATGATTAAGCATACTAAGTAAAAACTAATTATTATAATAAACATCTATAAAGAATATAGAACTAAAAACTTACTAATTAAATAATATCCTTATAAATTTATAATTCTAAAAGTCGCTATGTTTTAATGAGTCAAGATAATGAATTACAGGGATGAAAGGATTGATACAAACGAGCACCTAATGTTGTTTAAAAAAATAAAATATTTTATTAACTAAAATGTCAACTAAATTTAAAGATGAATAAAAATGACAACTTACCATAACAACTTATCTTGGATTGTGAGGAGCTAAAAATAACATGTTTATCTTGTCTTTGACTTTGAATGTACCAATAATTTTTTGAGAATGATACTCAACACTATATATACTAGTGTTGGGAGGGCTAATAAATGAAAATTTTATTATCATTGAGCCCGGCATCATAAAAGTATGATACAAGTACCTAAAATAAAAAAATAGAAACATTCACAACTAATATTAAATAATACCTCAATAAAAAATAAAATTTAGATACTTTATGTATAAACTAATTTTTTGTGGTTTGTAACTAATCCTTGGTCAGAATCTCATTGATATTTTCAGTTGCTAATTTTTCACTAATCATTTCATTATAAATCTCCTTTTCAAATTCTACTTCACGGATTTTATTTTTAAATGTTGTCCACATAATCACTTCAAATGCATTTTGATGAGGATATTTTAGTCGAGTAGATTCTACATCGATCTTCCCTACCTTAGTTATAGGTGTAGATCCTTTCGACAACTTTCCTTTCGCTTTGATTGGCTTCTTTACTATTTTTTAGATTTTGAGGACTATAAAATATAAAATTAATTGGTAAGGCTGAAATAATACATTAATGATTTTAAGAACAATCAATCATTATACCTGTAACTTAATGAGCCTTTTAGGCTAAGCCACATAACTTTCAATGGCGTTAAAAATCATGAATATATCCCCATCTTCTATCTGCACTAACAACTCAGCATCATTTTCTATTAAAATAGTTATAGTCTCACCTTTAAGTGATCAACAGGTAAGAGACTGGAGTGTATAATAATACTATTATCATTATACACAGATCTGAGTGCCACAATATGACAATATGGTAATTCTAACCATAATTGACATTGAGACTCACCCTAAAAATTAAAAAAATTAATATTTTTAAGAAAATGTGAAACATCATTTGTGAATAAAGAGAAGATAATATAAAGAAAAATGATAATCTTAGGAAAATTTTTTTAGTATGGAATGAGTAGCTATCTTTGTCACTGGAGCTAGCTTGTGGCACATTTACGACTCTAATCATTTGCTCAAATCTCTTTTTCATATGATCTTGAATTTTTTTTCATTCCTGCCTCCATTTCTAACATCTTTGCATTAAAATCATGTTCGGTAAAAATTTTAGACCGACATTCAAAGTAGGTGCCTTGAGAAATGCTAAGTCCAACTCCTCTAATGCAACCGAGACCTCTGGAGCTCTCAATGCCTTACCAAAGACATCCACATGTTCACCTGCATCATCTTGTGATATTGATTGTGATAATACTTCTTGTTGAATAAATTATAAACTAATTATTAAGTAAATAATGTAAATAAAGTAATACACTAAAATACTAGTACTCACACAATTCTCCTAAACTTTTCGAGTGTGCTCATCAAGTAATTTACCTTCTTTATTTTCTTAAGCTGTCGTCCAAACAAGAGCTCGAGAAATTAAAATATTAGGTCTAGTATCTTCTTCTATTTAATTAAACAAGATATTAGAATGATTAAAAAATATTTCCTTATATATATATAAGTAATATCAATAGACAATATTAATTGAAACTTATTAAACTATGTTCAATATCTGGATAGCTCTTTTTTCCTACTCTATATTGATTAGATTTGAGGAAAAACTATAGAATAGGATCGAATAAGATTTTGAGGATAAAATGAGATTCAATCCAAGATCAAAAAATAAGATAAGATTAACCCAGGTACTTAGATTAAATCAGATTTGAAAAATCATAAGGAAAACAAGCTCTAAAAGAAATTGAGATAGGATAAGGTTGCATAATTAATGATAGAATTCACTAAATGAGAAGATACGAAGAAAAGATAATATATTGTAGATTTAACAAATCTATCTTTTAATATATTGCAACCATCCCTTTGCCACAATTTTGAGAAAAAATATGAAAAATCATTAAATATTTTTTTCTTTTTTAAAGAAAAGAGAATGGATAAATGAAAAAAAAAGATATAGATAGACGGAAGAATGGATGAATAGTTTTTATATAAGGATGGATGAATAAATAGATGAGGATAAATGTGAAGGTGGAATGGTATAGAAGGATGCAACTTATTAGAGAAAACCTAACTCTAATATCAAATGATATGGAAGCCCACATGAAAAGTTGGAATCACTGTTGGAATCTGTCAAACAAGAAACTCTCAATATTATGATTACTCGAAAAGTCACGTGGTATTTAACCTTAAACACCAATAAATAAGTGAAGCTTGTTAAAAGAAAATAATTTTTTTTTATTTCATATGCTCTTCCTATACCGTCTACATGTGAGTAGTATTTGAAGAAATAAAATGACTCCTAACTCAATTAGGACTCTCTAAAAACTCAAATATGAAACTTTTAATAAATAACTTAAGTTCAAAAGCTCATAATAAGCTATTAAAGTTTAAA